AGGACACCGACTACAACTCGGACTTCAAGACGCATAAGTTCCTCGACCTCAGCCGGCCACTGTTCCCCCAGATCTGGTTCGGCGGATTCGACAAAGACTTCTACCTCGACCAGGTCCACCGCCCGAGACACTACAAGGGCGGTGCCTCTGCGCCCCTATTTGGAAACTTCCTCGAGCCTCTTTCGAAGACGCCGTGGTGGGTGATCCCTACCATCTGGCTGCCTCCCGTCATTTACGGCACCATTCTGTCGCGAGAAGGCCTCAACAGCCCTCTCGATGTCGCCATGCATTTTATTGGAGGCTTCTTCCTCTGGAGTCTGCTGGAATACGTCCTCCACCGGTTCCTCTTCCACCTTGATGAGTATGTCTCCTCCCCCCCTTTGTTCGCGCTCTGGGACCATCACTGACAGGATTGAAGTTATCTCCCCAACAACCGCGTCGGCATCACCGCACACTTCCTGCTTCACGGCATCCACCACTACCTGCCCATGGACAAGTACCGCCTGGTCATGCCGCCGACCCTGTTCGTCGTTCTTGCGACGCCATTCTGGAAGCTGGCCCGCATTGTCTTTGCCTACAACTGGTACGCCGGCACCGCCGTGTACTGCGGAGGCATCTTTGGCTACATCTGCTACGACCTCACGCACTACTTCCTCCATCACCAGAATCTCCCGCTCTGGTACAAGGATTTGAAGAAGTACCACCTTCAGCACCACTTCCTCGACTACGAGCTCGGCTTTGGCGTCACGAGCAAGTTCTGGGACCGCGTCTTCGGAACAGAGCTGGTTCCTGTTGTCAAGACTGCCTGAGCGGGGAGACGAGTTTTTGCAGAGTGAGGATTGAGGACAGTGAGAAGCGAGGACAGTTGTCAGGTTTTAACGCAAGTCATGGCCAGCGGGTGTAATACGAATGACGGGGCTGGCCTTTTTCAGGGGACCGGTTGTCTGAAGGAGTTCAGGGGTGAGATGCTTTAACGGGACTACGAGGCAATGCCTGGCTTGAACATCGGAACGGGACATGAGCCACTGCATACTTGCAGACACATATTAGTGTTTAATATTGATACCACCACTCACTTGAGCCTGCGCGATCGATGAGGACCCAATTCATGGTGTGATTTTGCCTTTGTTCCGGCGCTTTGAGGATGGTGACCTGCACAGTCCGCACACAATCACAGTACTGTACACAATGGTACTAGGCAGCAGCCACGTGACTGTGCCGTCAGCAAGATGACCGCACCCAGCGATTGATTTCGCCCGTTTCCTCACTTTGTTCCCTGCCCCTCAGTTTTTTCCTCAGCCAAACGGTGGAATCGACATCCACGACAGCACGCAGGCCATTCGCTCACGAGACTCCCACGCCTGCCGCATCGCTACGCTCAGAAACGGAGGTGCACAGCGGCTGACGAAAAGACGAAGCACTAATCCTCTGGTGTAGACCACTCAAAGACCCGCCAAGATGTCTAACCTAGATGTGGAGGCCCTCTGGACGCGACCGCCACGGAGCGACAGACCCGAAGCCGACAACAGACCGCTGATGACCAGTCGAACC